AAATTATAACTTATTAAAATTATAAATTATTAATATTCTAACTTTTTAAAATTTAAATTTATAAAATTCATTTATTATTAAATTTATAAATTATTAAATATATTACTTTATAATATTATAAATTATTAATATATTAAATTTTATAATTATAAATTATTTTATATATAAATTTATATAATTAATAAAATAATTTTTATGTAAAAAAAATAACAATATAGAATTCGGTCGGAAAATTGAATTTCGAACGGAAAAAGTAATGAATTCTGTATAAATAAATTGGGGATCTATTTTGGTTTTTTTTTATAAAAGAATTATATTAGTAAAAAAACCACATTTTGATCTCATTGTGTATTCTGATTATGTATTGTGAATCTCAGTCTACCAGGCTATACAACAGTGCATTAAATTGCTTTGTTGACTATTGCAGTCTTTAGTGCAGTGAGAACAGTACGCCAATCACTATTGAACTTTGGCACCTTCTACTTATCCCACACTATTTAGCTTCTGACACACACGCACATTAGAGAAAAGAAAGAAGAAGAATACGAAAAAAGTAATCCAGATTCATTGGTTTTGCACTTGTGCATGGGTGAGGTAAGCTTCAATCCAATTCTCTCCTTTCTCACATTTTCCCTGTATTATCATTTTGGTATATATAAATTCAATGGATCAAATGACTGCATTCATAAATAAATTAATGAACTGAATCTTTTGTCTTTGGTTCTGTTTGTTTCTTTACTTCATGGATATTTACCATGCTTCACCATCATTTTCAAGTTTCAACACTCCATTTTATCTCAAGCACTTCTCTTCAAGTCATCTTAAATTGCATTCGCTACTCGTCTTCTTTTTATTTCTTTAAAATAAGTTAAATCTAATGCCTACCTAATCAAATTTGTTAATCTTCAAAATTCCTTTTCTTTTAGTAATTTATCATTTGTTTGATTTTTAAGCTAGTGGTATGGTATCCATTGGAGAGTAATTTATATTCTTTTAAAATATGAAGATTCTTGAAGTAACTTTATTCCTTTTAATATTTTTTAATATATATATATATATATATATATATATATATATATATATATG